CCCAGAGGCCAGGGTGGAGGCCTGCGCCAGTACCTCGGGGGAGAGGCTGCCCCCCTGCGCTGGCGTCCCCGGGCTGGGCAGGGCGCCAGGCGGCCGGCCTGCTCGAGGGCAGGGGCATGCCCGCGTCCTGCTGCAGCCCTGGCGCTGCTCCGGCCAGCCTCAGCTCCCAGCCGCAGCTCGGGCGGCTGCCCGGCCGGCGGCCCCGGGGTTCCAGACAGCGCGGCGGCCCCGGCAACACACACTGCCTGACATTCTGGGCGAGTGGGAGGGCGAGGCCCCCGTGCAAAGCTCAAGGCGGCGGGCAGAGGCGGGTGGGCGGGTGCGGGCAGACACGATGCCCGGCCACCCACAGCCGCCACCTCCCTGAAACCCGAACCGCTTCTGGGAAAACTCAAGGACGCCAGGATTCTCCTCGCTGGCTGGCCGAGGGACTCCTGAACCGCTCATTTCCAATCAAACTCTCAAGGCCGAGCAGATTGAGCAAGCAGGGATCTCCCAGGCTTTGAGGAGACTCCAACCTCCCACCCTGAATCCGGGAAGGCGGGGTGCTGTGGGCATTGGCCATAACCCCACCTCCCACAACTGTCTCTTTAAAGCACAGGGACATTCTAGATCGGAGGTTCTCAACCTGAGGTGATTTGCAACCCCTCTACCCAGGCCACTTTTGTTGTCAAAATTAGAAGGACTACTACTAGCATTTAGTGAACAGAGGCCAGGGATGGTGCTAAACATCTTACAAAGACAGGTCTCCCCGCCACGCCCTCCAAACACACACACAACAAAGAATCATGGGATCCAGACTGTCCACAGTGTCAAGACTGAAAAACCCTGTCCTAGAATGAGGTCTACCCAGCCAGGACCCTGCCTGAGAGCTGTGCATCCAGTGTCATTCTCAAAAGTATTCCCACACCAGCCCCTCCTCAGAGGCCCCAAATCTCCATCCACAGTAACAGGCCAGTATCCACAAGTAAATCTTAATTCTAAACGTGATGTCCCTTGGTCCCCAATTGCACTACCGTGAGCTCCCAGGAAGGGGCTGAATGCATAGGCAGTCAAGGGAGGGCCGCCTGGAGGAGAAAAAAGGAGGAGAGCAGGGCTGGAATGTAAACACTACACAGGGATCACAAAAGGCAGAAGTAAAGAAGTCCTGTCCAGTGGTTAGAAGCAATGTGGGAACAAGCCCAGTGCACCCCCCCAAGGGCAAAGCTGCCCCTCAGGACCGGTACAGTGGCTATGTGTAGCGCAGCCAGGACTACACGGAGTCCAATCCAGGGGGCTACAGGCTGCTGGTATCAGGGCAAAACAGCAAGTGTGCATGTACAATGCATGTGCTGGCTCTCACACGCACATGCTTTCTCTCTCTTTATTTGTATTCTCCTGGGGGAAGAGTCCACAGCTTTCATCAGATTCTCAGAGGGGCTCACGATACAAAGGTCCATGGTATAGAACGGGCACCCTTCACTGGGCTCCCTGAAAATTCCTTAGGTGAAGTGCCAGGAGAGGTCCAGGTGCTATTTGGGGATTCTCGATGCCCAGAAAGACCCTGCAGAGTAGTATACCAGAAGCCCACCCAAGCTGTGGGAGACTGTGACATCCCAGGACTGGTTTATTCACACAGCTGTAGAACCTGGAAGGCTGGGTGAGTTTCTGGTATCATTTACCTCGGAAAAGCCTCCAAGAGATAAGGGTGTCCACTCCTCCCAAAGGGCAGCCCAGCCCTCCAGTGAGGAGCACCCAGCAGGTACAAGCATAGGGAGCAAAGGATGCCCTTCCCTGGAGAATGGCACCGACAGCCCTTGACAGCCACCACTACAAGCCTGAGGCTCCCTTCACTCATCACACATACATACTTCTGCCCCCAGGAAACAGCATCTGAGGATCAGAGCATCCAGCCCATGAGGACAACTTGGGGCAGTCAAAGCTGACAAGAGTCAGGTCCTCCTCCACCAGTGGCTCCTGACATTCCACTCAGAAAGTCTCCACTCCACCCCCACAGGCCCTAATCTGAACCCCAAATACAGAGACAAATGTCAGGAGTTCTAAAGAGATACACAAGTGTGTCTAAAGTGTCCGTTGCAAGGCAAGAACCAAATAACTTATTTCGCAAGGATACTGAGCCAGGCACAGAACACAAAAAACTTGGGAAGAACTAAATGAACAGTGATCCTGTAACAAGCACCATGTGCCATTATTACACCATATATTCCCCCCCTTTCTTCTAGACCTGCACCATCCAATATGGTAACCACTAGCTAAATGTGACTACTGAGCACTTGAAATGGGGAAAGTCTAAGTTGACATGTTCTCTAAGTATAAACTAAACACTAGATTTTGATGATGGTACAAAAAAAAGGATGTAAAATGTCTCATTAACTGTTTTAATACTGATTACACGGTGAAATGATTACTTGGTATATATTAGGTTAAATAAACATACCATTAAAGTTAATTTCACTTTGTTACAGACTGAATGTTTATTTTTTATTTAAATTCAATTAATTAACATATAGTATGTTATTAGTTTCAGAGGTACAGACTGAATGTTTATATGTGTCCCCTCAAAATCCATATGTTGAAATCCTAACCCCCAAAATGATGGTATTTGGAGCTGGAGCCTTTGAGAGGTAATCAGGGTTAGACTGGTTCATGAGGGTGCGGTCCTCAATTTGGGGTTAGTAGAAGAGGAAGGATGATCTCTCTCTACCCCACCCTCCAAACACGAACGAAAGGCCACTCCGAGGATGCATGAGAAGGCAGCCATCTGCCAGCCAGAAAGAGGGCCCTTACCACAACCCTACCAGGCTGGCACACTGATCTCGGACTTCCAGACACTAGAGCTGTGAGAAACAAATTCTGTTACTGAAGTCACCCAGCCTGTGGTCTATACGTATAGCAGCCCAAGCCGACTAAGACACCTGTTTCTTTTTCCTTTTACTAACACAACTACTATGAAATTTTATGTTATGTACATGGTTGGTGCTCTATTTCTGTTGGACAATGCTGTTCTGGAACCTCCTCCTGTGTGTTGCAGGCGATGGGGTACTTCTAAACAGCAAGCCAAGAGCTTGACGGAAGGGCATCCATGAAATGAAAGGAACAGGAGGGCCAGCTCTCCCCGTCCTTGGGCTTGGGGCAGCTCTTCCCAGAGCTCCTCACAGGTCAGGGCAGTGGCCACCAGAGAACTGGCTGGTGTGACCCCAAGAAGCACCCAGCGACCCCATCTTCCTGTCACGGCAGGAACATAGGTCCTTGGATTCCAGTCTGCCCCACTTTGCAGAGCACACTGCTCAGCACTGCCAGAGCCGGGCTGGGGGAGGAACGGAGGAAAAGAGGGAAATACAGTCCTTCCAGGGGCCCCATCCCACCCCGTCCTGCCTCATTAGGGAGGGAGATGAGACTGTCGAGATGAGACTGAGACAAATTAGGATGCGGGTTCCAGGTCTGAGGTGCCCTGTCATAGAAGGAGGTCCCCTGTGCAGGCTGGGGCTTGGAAGAGCACTGGACCTTCAAAAGGAATCTAGACAGCCAGGTGGGCTACTGCGAGCCTATTAAGTCAGCTTGCGCGGCCCTATCCTCCGGAGCGCAATACCTTCCTTTCCTTCAGAAGCATCTCAAAGCAGCACTTAAAAGGCAGAGGGAGGAACGAGCTCAACACCACCACTTTGCTTCTACCACACGGGAAATGGCTCCAAAAGAGCCGTGACGCCCCCTGCCACACTGTGCCCAAGTACCAATAAGGGGGTCTTCATCCTCTCCTCCCTGCGCTCAGGCTACGCAGCTCCAAACTCCACCGAGACAACTCACTTGCTTTGGGTGTAGACAACTAAGCCACGCTACGTTAAAAGGAGGCCGAGAGTGGGGATGGGATGGGATGGAGATCCCCCATCGCCACCCCCGCAGGAGCGCGGGGATCCCTGCCCCGCCCCTGCACGCCAGGCCCCGCCCTTCACGGGTTTCCCAGACTCCGCGCTGCTGCCACCGCGGGCGGCAGGGGACCCGCGCTGCATGTGTAATGGGGGCTGGGAACAAAGACGCGCAGGACCCAGCGCCCCGGCTTCCGCGAACCAACCGCCCCGACCTCCCTGGGCTTCTCCCTGGAGCTTCAATGCGCGGCTCCCCACGCTTCCCAGGGCTATCTGGAGCCATCCGAACCGGAATGCGGGGCCCATCCCTGGGCGCAATCCGAGTTGGGCGCGCCCCAACACCGCTAGAAGAGGAAAATCACTGCTTCGGCCTTGGGGAAAAGCGCTTTCCCAGCGGAATTCCGCGTGTATACACCCGCACCCACACACCCTCAACCACAGACACGCGAGCTGAACGGCCCTGCCGGTCACCCACCCCCGCCACGTGTTTCTCAGAGACAGAAACGGACCTGTTAATTTTTCTTCGCACCCCACCTCCCTTCTCAGGGGCCCCGAACAAAGCGGTCCCGTAGGGTGACCGCACCTCGCGTCCTGGGACAGCCGCAGGGAAAGCGAGCGTAGGTGGGAGCTGGCGCCAACGGCCCGCCTTGAGGGGAACACAACGCAGACGCTAGTGGGATGGGGTGCAGGAGACTCCTCCTGGCTGTGTGAAGCAGCCCCCTTCCCTTCGCTACACCTAGTGGCTCTGAGGGTCGCGCAGTCCTGCCCCCAGCCCCTCCTGCACCTACGATCCCGCCACCCCCGGGTTAGATCTGGCCACCTTCCCCACGCTTTGGTTTTCCTCTCACGCTCCCTAGGTTCCACGCGCCCGAGTAGCCTGAACCCCGACCCCAAGGCTCTAGATCCCAGCCCCGATCATGGGGTCGCCAGGCCGCCGCACAAACAAGATCGTCCCCCCAAGATCCGCGAGCGCGGCGCCCAGCGCGCCCCCAGTCCCCGCCCCGGGAGGTGCAAGCTGGGTGCAGGTGGCGCAGCAAGGAGGCCACGGGCCCGCCCTTTGTTGGTAAACACCGCGCGGCGCCCGAGACCGGCCCCGCGCGCCCTCCCCGCGCCCCCCACGCTGCGCCCAGTCCTTACCCGCGCACAGCGATCCCCAGAGGAGGGCGAGGGCCGCCCAGGGCGCCGTCATGTTCCGCGGCGCCGCCCCGCGGACACCCGGAGCCCGCGGGCAGGGCCGCGCGGCGCTCCCGGGGCGCGCAGGGCCCAGCGGCGGCTGCGCTTTTCTTCCCGCTTCTTCCTTCGGTCTGTCTCCCCGCGCGCTTCCTGCGCCTTCGTCCGCTGGCAGCGTGCAGGCTCCAAGGGCCGGGCGGCGGGGCCGGGCTCAGGGCCGCTGCGGGCGGCGCAGGCTGCGGCCCGGGCTCCGGGACGACGCGGGGGCCGGGGGGCGGCGGCGGGGCGCGGGCCGGGGCGCGCCCGACTCAGGCATGGCGCGGCGGGGCTGGGCCCGGGCCCCGGGCACTGGGGCCGAGTCCGGAGGGGCCATGAACGGGGGGGAGGGGTGGGGGGAGGGGAGCTGAACCGAGTCCAAAATGGCTCCTGAGCCGCGGCCGCGGAGCCGAGCCAGCGGGGAAACCCGGATGTTGGATACAAAGAGGCGGGCGAGCTGGGCGGGGAGGGGGAGGGGAGGCGGGCCCTCCGGCCGCGTGGTCCGCGCCCCCCTCAGGGGCGGTGCCCCGGAGAAACAACAACAAGGAGGCTCCGCCCTCAGCCCGCGCCCTCCGCCCTCTGGGAGGTCGCGTACCACCGAGCGACTGGAGGGCGAGGCAGGGCGCGCTGCCCTGCGATGCGGCAGTGGATGGACAGCCCCTGGACTCGCCTGGATTCCGCCCCCCCCGCGCCTCCGTTTCCCCACCTTTGAAATGTGGGTCAGTGTGAACCGTGGGAGAGTCGTGTCTTTCGTGCCGAACTAATCGGCAGAAAAGGTTATCTTCTCTGAAATGACAGGTAGTCCTCCACGTCTGCAACCCTAACACACACACTCAAAGGCACAGCTGGGCATCCTGGAGTTGGACCCACCTGTCTGAGAGAGGGCGCCGAGCCCCTCCCCGCAGAGGGGCAGCAGGTGGAACAGGACCAATGGCAACTGGCTTCCCCAACCTTACTCTTGTCCTCAGCACTCCCACCCCCACCCCCACCCCTGCTTCAGTCTGCACCTTCAAAACTGTTCTCAACTGCCTCCAGTCCACCCAGTTGAAAATCTTGTCTGGCGAATGGTTCTGCTGTCCTCTTCACCTGCCACGTTCCTCCTTGGGGCCCCTTGTTCTTCATTTCAGATTCCACTCTCCTTATCACACAACCGGAACTTAGGAAGGTCACGATAGGGCTCCCAGCTAAAGATGGAAAGCCCATCACAACTCAGGGATGAGGTGCAGGACCCTTGGATACAGAAATTGTCCTCTGGCTTCTGACTTGCCACAGCCTTTCTTGGAGCAAGGCAGGAGCAGGGCAAGGACAACCAGGAAGGAGGTGGTGCCTGGAAATCTGAGTTATTTCACTTCTCTAAGCCCGTTTCCTTACACAGAAAGTGAAGAGGTTAGATTCCTCTGTTTTGCATTTTTCAAAAAGCAGAAACCTTACACAAACAAAATATTATGTAAAAGTCCACCATACAGAACAAAATTGCCTTGATTGACGTCAAAATGAGGGCCCACCACCCCTAGTTTCAAAAGCATCAGGAGCATCTGGGTAGTGACTCCAAAGTGTGGCATCTTTGGAGTCCAGAAAGACTGAAGGCTCTAAAGGTCCCTTCCACGTCCGGAAAATCCTGTGGAAAATGACAGCACCTCCTTGCCACAATCCCTGTATAGGCCTTTTAACACAGGATTGAGTGCTACTGTGTGCTGAGCAAGAAGCAGTGTGGTATGGGATACCCTGGTTGTGTATCAGGTATTTGGTAATCCTACAGGAGGCTATATCAACAGACACATGATGGCAGGGGAAGCAACTGCATATTCAGAATAAGTGGCTTTTCTAGGAAAGATAAATCGATGCCTTCTCCCTACTGGTAGGTATCAACTATAACCCACTGTGCCAACAACTAGATTGGCTGGTTCCTCTCTTCTACGCCACGCCAGGAGAGGTATCACAATAAGGGCTCAGGGTGATCCAAGTTGCCAACACATCGGTGTCCTCCACCTTGATGTCTCTGGCAACTCCAAATTTGTGTAACTGCCTACTTGACATCTCTATTTGGCAGCCTATCAGGCATCTCCAACCTGACCTAGCCAAAGCAGAATTCCCCATTTTCACCACAAATCCACTTCTCCAGTTGTCGTTGTCTGAATCAATGGCATAACCAGACAACCAGTCGCTCAAATCAAAACTTTATGAGCCAGTCTTGATTTCTCCCACATTCAGTCCATCAGCAAGTTGGCTTCAAAAACATATCAACCATCAAGCCACTTTTTCCATATATACCATTGCCACCCAACCTCTCACATCCGGACCACTGCAACAGCAGTGAACTGGAAGGAATTATAACTAGTCACCTGCTTCCATTCTTGCCTGGCTATATAATACAACTTCTATACAGCACTTGAAATGATCTTTTAAACATGGAACTAGTATCACATTACCCCCTTCCTTAAAATCCTCCCAGGGCTTCCTGTTACAATGCCTGGCAAAGCTTTACATAATCAACCCTTCTTCCTCTCCAACTCCCCATTTCAGCCAGACACACTGGTGTGCTTTCTGCTCCTCAAACACATTAAGGTTGTTTCTACTTCAGAGTCCCTGTGATCTCCACTGCCACTGCTGGTATACTCCCCTTCCCCCCCGCCCCCCGCCCGCCCAACCAACTCTCTTGGAGAGCTGAAATCTATGTTGTTGAGCTCCTGAGATTAGCTTGTATCTCTGCTACCATTTTGTTCATGAACCAATACCAGGCTGATAGGGAAAGATGATGTGGGTATCTGAAAATCAAGTTTGGTTTGGGTTTTCTGTTCTTCTGAACCACAAGAACACTAAATACCGCATTTGGTATCAGACATGAGGTAACTGGAAGCTGAAAGGCAAAAAACCAACAAATGTCTACTACAAAACTTATGGGAGGGAGTTCTGCCATTCAGGAATTCTGTGTTTAGGATGATTCTTCCCCTACTCTCCCCCCTGCTCAATGATCCAAGTCAGAAACCAAGGAATTAGGAAGAAACAATTGAGCATGGCATCCTTCAGTATCAAGCTAATGGAAGAAGATGGAAAATTATAGCATTAAAATATGACTTGGTATCTGAATAGTTATAAGGCATTATATTGTGAGGGTTAAATGCATTTATTTATCAAGATAAACTCTTAAAATAACCACAACTTTTGTAACTTTACTCCGAGAACTCTTCATTTAAAAAAAAAAGTGGAGTGGCCCCAGCCTCTCTCAGCTTCTGAGAGTCACTGTTTAGAGATATGCTATAGTGGCTTATTATGAGAGATATAGGGTAACATATATTAGAATAGTGGGTAATTTAGTTACAGCAATACCACATTAAATGATTTCAGAGGGTACTATTCACCATATATAATGGGGGTGGATGCATAGTTTCTTTGGGAATACAATTCCCCTCCAAACTTAGTAAGCTATCTATTTATTTCCAATCTATTCTGTGTGCCATCGATGTTAAAAGTTATTTCCTAGACAATTCTCAAACTGTTTTATTTCTTTTCCTCCAGTCCTCATACTTCTGTTCACGTGCTCTCTCTTAACTTATGGTGGCCACCTTGAGGTCAACTAAATTAATTGGACTGGGTAGAAAGGTCTTTCAGATAGATTCGATTATGCTGTGGTAATGGGAAATCCTCAAATCTCAATGGCTTAAAATAACCAAATTTATTTTTCACTCATGCTACCTGTTCATTGTGAGTCACCAAGCAAGTTATACTCATTGTAATAACTCAGGGACACAAGCTAATGGAGGCTACATTTTGATACATTCTTCTACTATTACAGTGAAAGAGGGAAAGTAAATTATATTCAGGCTTTTAAAACTTCTACCGGATTCCAGGAAAGTGGTAGCTCGGTTGGTGGCTGCACAGTTTTTGAATTCTCCCAAAATCCTCACAGAGCAACTACATGAAAACAAAAACAAAAAACAGAAAATCCATGTACATTTACAAGAAAACTAGGTGACAAGATTTCGCCCAAATCACCAAAAATACAAGCAAATGGAGACAAACTACAAACTACCAACAGCAATAAAATTTACATGGACCAGCATCTGTGCAAGGGGAACCTGAAGAACACAAGGTAGATAAGGTTCCTGAGAACAACAGAATCCCCAAACAGCTAAGAGAGATTCACTGGAAAGCATGGCTCAATAACTTAAGAACAGTAGGTGAAACTGGGAGGGGCTTCCCCAATCCGACCACAAGTGAATACAAGGAGACTCTTGTAAGCATAGAAAGAGTTGGAACAGTTTGTCCCTGTGAACTTTTAAAAGTGATTAGCCAGGGATACCTAGGGTGGTTCAGTCAGTTAAGCATCTGTCTTCGGCTCAGGTCATGGTCCCAGAGTCCTGGGATCGAGTCCTGCATCAGGCTCCTTGTTCAGCAGGGAGCCTGATTCTCCCTCTGCCTGTTGCTCTCCCTACTTATGCTCTGTCTCTCTCTCTCTCTCTGACAAATAAATAAGATCTTTAAAAAAAAAAAAAAAAAAAAAAAACCTGATTAGCCAGGCCTCTGTTTTAGATCAGATTCCTACATTGAGGAGAAACTGCTAGAGGTGGAATCAAAATTGAGCTGGATAAGTTTTTTTCTTCCAGCCATCACACAGGAACCGGAATCACATTTGCCCTCCTACCATAACAAGAAAAATGGACAAGCTATAGGAGGCAACTATTTTTGGACATTACACAAGCTGTAATCCCAGAGAGAGAGAAAAAAAAAATGAAGGGAGCCTTATGATTGCCCCTGCTTTCTGCCTGGAGACAAATTCCAGTCCACAATGCAGGAAGCATATCCCAAGCAGAGTCTGGCAACCTTGCAGAGTTGAGAACAGAGAGTGAGATTGAAGATGGAGAAGGCTACAGCAAATTTAAGAGCAAATTTTACTCTGGCAGAGTACCAGAGAGGAGGGAATTACATAAAGAAAGCTGGGCATCTGCAGAGGAGTCTCCTTGGGTCTTTTCCTGAATTCTGAATTGTACATACATACAATGAAACTCCATGGGGTGAGAGAAAGAAAGACAGAGGAGCTATAAGCTGAATAGTGCCAAGAATTCACACAGGAAAGGTAAGTTTTTATAGTTCTAGCCGTCCAGAGTGGAAAGTCCTGATTAAACACCTAGGACCCTC